GCCTACGATGGTTGCTTCTTGAAGATCGAAGTCATGACCAGTCTCTGCGCCATGTCCTGCAAGTTGATAATTTGGGTCTTGTCTCCCAGCTGCCCGTTTGTGCGTGTTTTAGTCACTTAACTTATCTGCACTTTCTTCATCGGAGTAGCCACGTGTGAGGTGCGTGTATGCATGGACCCTTTTTCCGATGCATCGAAATCGACTCCCAGCCGAGTGCAGTCTAACCATGATCGGGCCGAATCCAGAGTCGCATTCCAATGGGTGTAGTCGCCGGGTCCGGACGTCTAAAGCCGGTCATGATGTCGTCGGCTCCGGGAATGTCAGACCGTAGGCAATCGCTGCAGTAGGTTCCTTTGTGGACCGGCTTTGGAACGTAATTGGCAAGTTAAGACAGAAGGAGGGTGACCTTGACCGGCAGTTCGACAACCTCTGGTGCGCATGGACACGAGAGCTAGATATGCGGGACATGCCCCAGAGGCGTGCGAGGAAAGCATGACCAAGAATACGAGGTCGCTACAAACTGACCAAAACTAAAATAAACTCAAAAATACAGTAAACGAAAATTAACAAGATTAGAAGTAACCGCAGGACGCTAACTATTTCCGTGTGTGGCGTGCAATGTGGATGAAGTGTGTAGCACCTTCGTGGCAAGGATAAATGCTTATTAGCACGATATAGGTAGGCAGTTATACGAACTTAGTGTCTTGAGTTCGAAACCAGACTGTCACCATCGGTTCTTGCTTACTCGGGCTTTGCACCCGCGTCCATCTCCAGTCATCGTAGTTTGAATTTTAGACATCCGAACTTGTTGTTGAGGGATCCAAAAAAATTTACGCATGCCCTAATCAGGTGATTTAAGGAACAGGGCTTACAGCGCGCTTAACGGGCACGCTAGGGCAATTTTTAAACCAGGAGAAGTATCGTAAATCAAGTGAGTGACGGCGTTAATACGGCCAGCGATGGGCCTCATCTGAGGCCCTAGAAGCCCTGGTCTGGCATAACCAGGGCTAACTGGTCATCGGCCCGAAATATATACATCAAATTTCGGTTTGTGCCTATAGACGTTGAATATGGTAATCTACGCCAAGAACACAAATTAATTTCTAAGCAAATTAAAAAAAAGCTGAATATGTTTCTTTTGATTCGTGTGAAGTTTGCTCGTTCTTTCGGTAATGCCTGTCTTGGATTAAAGCCAATCACAGTCCGTGTTTACAAGAACTGACCCGAGCCAATAGGCAGTGAGGTCAGATAGATGCGTGTTTTAGACACTTTGCTCACCTGCACTTTCTTCACCGCAGTAGGCACGCTTGAGGTGCGTGTATGCATGAATCTTTTTTGCGATGACTTTTGAACATTGTTCTGCAATTTTTACGTTAATCTATATTCTCGACCTAGTAACTATTTGCATTTTTGCTTCTATTCGCTGTTAGTACTGTTTGCTTATCTAACAATTTGGACTTGACTCGAATTAGAATGGAATCCAATACTTGAAAAAATCGAAGTCGAAACGAGCTCAATGCTAGCTGTTATAGGGAGGCCAGCGGCCTTGCACTCAGAGTCCACGGCTTCGAGTCATACGCGCTGGCAAGCGGCGAACGCTAACGACCGTTCATATAGCGTGAGGAATTATCGATTAGCGTGCACACTCGACAACTGTTCACAGAGCCTGGAGAATTATCGATTTGAGGGCATACGTAACGACCACTCACGCAGCGTGGCCAAAATATCGATCAGTGACAGGCCAGAACAGCGGTCGCATGCTATTGGGCCAGAACCTCATAAATAGGCTGTATTGGAGAAGCAAGGGATCTTGCTGTCTCTGTATTGATCAGAATAAAGGCTTCTTATCAGAACCGCTCTCTTGGCTTCTTCTGCCTATTAGTCGGATCACAACCTACTGGGCTGTAACACTAGCCGTCTTTGTAGAATTCAAATCGAGCTAAAAAATTCGATTTTCATTTTTCTGCCCCACAGCGGGTACCTTACCGCTTGAAGAGGACCCCTTTATAAACACCAGTAGTAAAGTAACATTTGGAAGACCACTATTGGCATTTTGTCATAAATTTTAATTATAAAAAAGTATGGAAAAATTACTGTGCAATGGTAGAAAATAACTTTCTGTTTTTGTAAATGTAAACAATTTACTGAATGTCAAACCTCATTGACGGAATCATTGAGCGTTTGCGTTGGATCAGTCGACTCCTCTAGGGTTTCTTCATCCGGATTTCACAGACCTTGGAGAACCCTTACATCCATGAAGTAGTTAGTATTACGAGATTTAGGTTCGGGATCGGGCGTGGTTTCCTCTCAACCATAGACAAAACCTCGTTCCACCAAAAAATGGTAAGTTTCCCTTTGATATCAGCAATTTCTTTTCCCCCCCCTTTTCGTGAGCGTCTGCATGTCGTGTGCTAATTAAGCCTGCGACCGCTCTTGCCTTCCAGATCATGTTGAAGTCAGGTGTAAGCTTTAAAAGCGGCGATATCATTTTGACGGAGACCACACTAGCTCATGCCCTCTCGAAACTCGCATCGCCCTATTACTGTGCCTACTGTGTAACCGCGTCAGACAACCTGTTGCATTGCGCCCAGTGCAAACGTGTCTACTACTGCAATCGACAGTGTCAAAAGGCAGGCTGGGCATTCGGTCATCGCGGTGAATGTAAGTTGATCGCAAAGGCCGGAGAATTGCCGTCTGCTACACTACGTCTTCTCCTTGCTCTCATCACCACGGAGGTAGGTTCACTTCAATCCCCTCTTCATCATTCAATTTTGTGTGTGTAGAAGTACAAGGATGCCTCCATTTTCGACTCCTTCGTATCGCGTAAGTTTCGCCTAGCCTTGTCCGCCTAACCTATTAGATCTCGAGGAGAATCTCAGGGATCCTGAAACCAAGTCGGAGATAGACCGTGCTTTCGCTGACCTGTTAATTTTCTCCGATAATACTCTCCAGATTTCAGGCAGTGACTTTGAAGTACTCTTTTGCAAAGTTTGTTTTGCCCCCTTCCTCTGTCGAACTGTGTCTGCTAGGTCAAAACAAACGCCTTCACCTTGGGAGACAAACGCGGGAAGAGCATTGGTAGTGCATTCTTTAGATGGTAAGACTTCTACAGTTTACTTGATCCTTTATCCATCCTAGGGCTTGCAAAATTGACCATGCCTGTAAACCCAATGCAGAGTTCTTCTGTACTGGTCGGACAATGAAAATAATGGCCTTGGAAGACCTGGAAGACTGGACTAAGGTAGTAAAACTTTCAAGTGAACTTGTAGAGTCTTAGTAGTTATTATAGTACTACAACCATCAGATTAAATTCCAAGTTATTGGTAAAAGAAAGAAGGCACTATAATGAGGATTTTATTGTGTACAGAACCCTGCATTGTCGTCTCAGACAGCAGTGGCCACTGGAAAAGCCAGGGCTCATGTGGTCTGCGTCCATTCACGCCTGGGAGGG